TTAAATTTAAATATATCAATTCATGTGAACATGACTGAAAAATTTCATTTTTTCTGAAAAGGTGGTGTCTATTTACCTGTGTATGTTTAAAGTCAACAGAAAAATTGATTAAAGCAAAACAGAGGTTATATGTACAGTGCTTTCAGTTGGTTTTTGCTCCAGTGCTTCTCAACTTGGGTTCCTCGACAGACATCCAGGGATTCTGAAATATTAGGCTTCATATTTATTTTCAGTTTCGTAACAAAAGTTAATATGTCCTAAAGACAACAAAGAAAGTAAAAGCAGTTAATAAGTATAAAATGCAAATACTATGGTGTTGTTCTGACTCTACTGTATGAAAATTAACTGCACCAAAGTACATTTATGTGTTGACAATTCAAACTGTGGATGTTTTTCATCCAATCAAACTACTACACCAGCAATATGCTTATAAAGCAGCAGAGTGGTGAACGCACTCATGGCTTAACAGAAGAGAAAGGTTATGTGTCAAGTATATAGAAGGGTAGCTAGTACAGGACATTGTGAAGATGACATGTGAAACTGGAACTATCGATCATAAACAAAGTAAAGGTATAAAGCCCAACTCTTCAAAAGTGATGTTACTAACTCAGATTTTGAGCTCTATGTGATGCATGACAATCTAAATGATATTTTTCAAATGGCCTACCATGAATTACAGGTGTGAATGCTACCTCCATAATAGTAAGATACATATTATTATGAAGTGGCCTCAATGTACATGTATGTGTAGATGCTCAAAAATCCATGTTTAAGAGAGATAACCAACTAAAAAGTTGAACTGAGTGTCAAGCTCCAAATAATAGGAAGATCAAAGATTAAGCAAGGTGCCCTTTACAGATGAGTTCAAATTTAAATTGCTTGGCAACAACCAGTAATAGCTTTTTTATGGCAGAGAGGAAAATAACATCGTGGTCAAATTTCATCTTCAATGAAGTACACTAGGAAAACAAGTGTAAGTGTGGAATGCATTTTAGTATATGATATTGGGAATATACACAAAAAAGGATGCACCCTGACTGCTGACAGCTACAAGCCAATCCCTATCCATCATGCCATTCCCTCAGAAACAAGACCTACTGGGAAACAGCTCATATTCAGGTAAGACAGTAATCTCAAGCATGCAGAAAATATGGTGAAATGATAACTGTGCAAAGTCCCAATATCAATACATTATTAAAACTGTTTGGACTTAAGTGGAAACTGAGAAATCAAACAAACAGTGACAGAAAATTTGGCTGAATAGTGACAAGAAATACAGGACATTTGGAAAAATATTTCACTATCAAACAATGAAAAACTAATAATTATTAAGGTGTATTGCTCTGTTTAAAGCAATCATAACCTGCTTCATTTTTCACCTTGGCAATGGTGTAGGGGTTGTAGTCTGCCACCACAAAGATACCTTTGACTCCAGATGTAATTCATGAAACTATTGTTGTGGTCCTTGCTTTATTGACCAAGAACAAGGATGGTTGTGACTACATCTGCACTGTTGTAGAGGGCTTCATCTCTTGGCAATTGACAGCATATTGGAAAGTGTCAAACAGAGATACCCTTTTAGTTTCATCAAATGCTGTACTATCTGTTTTGAGTAACTGTTTTGATACCTCCAGGTGTCACTCAGATAGTTTACTGGTAATTATTTTTAACAATAATTTAGCATTTGGGTCTTGGGATTGTTACTCAAGCCATTTCACTTCCTCTCTATATCCTTCTAGGTAGTCATCAAACATTTTTTTCTAATAAAACTTTATATCTAATCCATTATTTTATCAATGCTAGCTCTATATGGTGTTGGTAAATTTGACTGACCTTGTAACCATCAGAAAAATTAAGAAATAAATCAAAATTACTTTTTTTGTTTTAGAATAACTGCAAATTGTAACAGAAAACCAAAAACGTTTATTCTAAATAGCTTAAATCTCATAATAGTATACATCTATCTATATTTATTAATTTTTGTTTTACTGACCTTTGAACAGTGTCTGACTAAAAATACCCCAACACAAGTTGAAAATTACACGGCACACGTACAGCTCCCATTACCATATCGAATAATGCAATGCACAAGCTGCTGGTGCATATACCCCATGAACAATTTTATTAGTTTTCTTTGATTATCTTACCTAATAAGTTTCTATTTTTTACATTTCAGTTGCTTATATAATAATAAATAGTGAAAAGAATTGAAAAATAAAAAAAGCTCATATTTAAATATCAAACATTTTTATTTTCATTTTCAAGAAAACTTTATATTTTATTTGTTATTTTCTTTACTGTAACATTATACTTGATTTCCCAAGTTGTAGTTCAGTAATCAAAGTATAACGAAAATAATAGTTGTAAATGCAAAATAAATGTATAGAATTGTTAGTATTTCACACATATTTTTGAAGTTATTTTATTGCTAGCAGATGGCTAAGAAACTAGAGGAAACAAAATGAATAGTACTCTTTCCTTTCCAGTACAGACAATAAAGTTCCAAAGTAAATCTCCTGAGAGTTTCTTCTAATCTTTTTCACATCTATTTCCTATGTTTATTCCACTGTTAGTGGCTGAAGAAGAAACCTGCCGAAAATAAAGTAATGGATTACCATTCCTCTTTAGGTGTTACCGTGCTTTGAGTATTCTGACACCATCAATATCGAATAAGCTTTTGCAGCTCAATTCCAGAATTTTCCTTGCTTTGAAAACACAGTGAAGTAGGATTTATCAACTTGTTGACAGTATAATGGTTACAACAAGAATTGTCTAAAGTATTTTAAAATGGTTCTGCTATGGCTTTTTAAAAAGACTGGGTCAATCCAATAAACTTGTTAGGTATTTGAATATTGGTCGATAAGCAGATGTTTCCTAAAGAGTTTATTCGAATCCCAGCTCTGAAAACACGGTGGGGTAGGATTTATTGGCTTGTTTACACAGTACAGTAGTTGCAACAAGAATTGTCTAAAGAATTATAT